ATATATATATATATATATATATATATATACAAAGTAAGTTAATAACATTAATTATCTGAGCAGCAGGCTGTTATGAATTTATCTCCCAACACAGACACTCATCTTGAGCAAGAATGAAGGCGACAGGGGAAAGAAAAAACTCCCTCGTTAGGAAGAAACCTTTAGTAGAACCAGGCTCAGGACAAGCGGCATCTGTTTTGACCGGCTGGGTTTGAGAGGAACTGGGTGGAAGAATAGATACACAATGGCAGGTCAAGAATCACATGTTAAGACAGAAATAATTGCAAATGAAAACTATTCAATTTTAACAATTTGTTTAACCTCCTAGGACCTGGCATCCACATATGCAAGAATTCAGGTCTTAGGAGGTTAAGGAAATTAGGTCAATTTGTCCTCTAGTATTCTAAGCCTATAGCATCAGAACAAGCCAACGCTAACTATAGGATTTATCAAAAAGGAAAATCTTAAAACTGGACAATGTGTCAGTTTTATAGACAGAAACTGGAAGTTGATTCCACAAGAGAGGAGTCTGATATCTGAAAGATCTTCCTCCCATTCTGCTTTTGGAAACTCTAGGAACCACAAGTAAACCTGCAGTCTGAAGGTCTGTTAGGAAAATATGAAACAGTAAGATCTCGAACTTAAGATGGATCTAGGTTGTTGAGAGCTTTGTAGGTTCGAAGATTTAGCAAACAGAAAAAATAAGAAAATAAAGGAAACAAATCCTGGCTTCCTGAAAGTAAAACGTGAAAATGAGTTTGACTCCAGATGTGGAGCACTTACGTAGTTTGTAAACACGCAGTGGATCTTGCTGTTGACTCTCAGCCCAAACAGCTGAAGCTCTGAATCCATCTGATGTGTTCAGACCTCCTGAACGTCATTGTTTCTTTTCTCTGCAGGTGCTGTTGTTTCTTCAAGAGGAGAAAGAGGAAAGCTCTCCAGAGGCACAAGTGAAGGAAGAAAATAAAGAGAACTTGAAACATTGTGGTCACTGTCAAGTTTTAAATGAAAGCAACTACACGACCCCCCCACCACCCCCCCATCATCCTCAAAGGCCCTTCTCTCTTTCCAGCTCCTCTCACCGTCTTCCCCTCCACTCGTCACCACGTACCTCCCTCTTCTCGCTCTTGTCTTTCTCCTTCTGTTTCCCCCAGCTGCCGCCGAGTCGAAGGAATGTCGCAGACCTACTGAACTTTACAAGAGACTCCTCGATTCTTTTCTCGATGAAAAAAAATAAACCTTGCATTACAACAGGGAGGGGGCGGGGGCTTGAGGCGAAGTATAAAAGCTGTAACCATGAAACTCGAATACCGTGGCGTGAGCATGAAAAAAGAAGCAGTCGTATAGTAGATTCCACGCAGAACGTGCGTTGTTGGAGCAGTCTGCTGTTCGTCAGGGGAACCCGTTCGAAGTGGGCGGAGTGAACGAAATCCGCTCTGTAGGAAAACGTTGATTTTTATTTTGAATTTTCGGTGTTTTGGGATCAAGGTGAAGTTTGCTGATGTTACATCCGAGAGACACAGGAAGCATTTCATCTATAAAACAGAACTTGGAAGATTTTTATGTACCCCCTTTTTTTTTTTGTTTTGTTTCTTTTTTTTTTTAAGCAAATCCTCAGTTTTCAAAGTCAAACCCCTGCATTGAAAACTTTATTTTCATGTCGTAGTGTTCTGGAGTTCGATTCTTTTTCTCATTTTGGTTTTCTTTTTGTTTTTCAACATGGTCTTTGTAGCACAGTCACTGGCCTCAGGTACTGTGGAAGAAATGAGAGAAACGGATATTAAGCTCTCTTATTTTTATTGCACTTTTGAGTGGGGGGGGGGGGGGCATTTACAGTGGAAAAACTTTAGGTTTAAAATTAACAGTTAAGCAAACGACTTAATAAAGACTGATCTAGGAGGAGTCCTTCAACGCTTATATCTGAGTTATGGCTGAAAAATGATTTACATGAAAAAGAAAAGGAGAAAAAAAAAGTCTTGATTTTTATTTCTTACATCTAAATAATTTACCAGGAAATCATAGTTTGTGCCTTTTTAAGTAAAATGTTTAAAGCTCAAGTGAGTGTCCCGCTACGACGTTTTATCTAATCCGACCCAAATGCTCAGTGGATTATTGTGTGTCTGTGTGTGGGGGATGTGTGTGGGTGTTTGCTAATCCACAAGTTGTAAGCAAATCTGTGAACTACACATCCCTTCTCTCGTGAATCTTCCTCCTCGAGCTGCTGGGAAGGGACATCTGTAAGGCGGTGGCGTTTTGGTCTGGCAGGAGGCTTGGACGGTGTGAGTGTGTGTATGCGTGTGTGTGTTTCCAGCTCAAAGAGATCTAACGCACACACACAAAAAAAGCCCAAATCTGTTCAAAGTTGTGTGTTATTTCATCTGGATGTCACCAAGAGATGAGAAGTTCAGAGCTTTATTTGTTTTAAGTGTCTCTGACATGGCTGAGGTCCTGTTTCTGTTCAAATTGTACAAGATTAGTAAACCTATTTTTATGCTTTGAGCGCCTTTGTGCTGCAAACAGATGTAGTTTTATGCCGTTAAATGCTTTCTTTTCTTTCTTTTTTTGGTCCCCCACAGTGTCTAACAGTTTGCTGCAGTGTTTTCATAATGCCTAAATCCCCCCCCCCCCCCCCCCCCAGGAGCTTGTTGAAGATGAAAAATCACTAATTTTACATCCCTGAAGTATTGAACAGATGCAAGAGATTGAATTTGTTTTTTCCAAGTCATCACCTCCGGCTCAACCAGAATTTTCTTAAAACTCCTTAACTGAAGACATCTTCGTCTCATTGTTTTGTTTGTAGAAGTTCGTCTTGATGTACAAGTGCTCGTTTAAAACCCCACCTGAGCCCACCTTTTCTTGAACCGATTACCAAACAGGCCCAGAGAGTCTGTGCTTAAATCTTAAACAAAACAAAAAAAAGGATGCACAAAACGACCCCAAAGACAGCAGAAAGTGTCCACAATGTGTGAAATTATGGGTCATAAATGTAACGTTATCTAGATGCGGTAGAGAAATAGCAGAAACTGTAAAAACTGCAACAATCACGTGTTTAATTTTAATATTTTGTCTTAATTTGTGTCCATTTCAGATGCTAATTGGAACTGGGAGCCCATTCATTCATATTCTGTCCAGGATTATAATTCTGTTTTACTTTTAGATTAATTTATTGCAAGTAAGTACAAATTGATAATTCAGCTCCCAGCTGTGAGGAGAACATTAAAGTCTGGATGTTCTGGTGAAAAGTAGGAGCTGGTTGCCGTTACTGGAAATTTTTAAAAACACACAAAACTCGTGAAGCCCCTACGACCTCATTTGGCTTTTTCACAGTTTTAGCAGCTTTTTTTTAATTCAGAAAATATTTACGTTCTCATTTGAACCCATCTGCTTTGAAGTGAGCAGGACAATTTGCTCCTCTAAGCAGGTTTTAGAGGACCAAAGAAGTAACTGAATGCCATTCATAGCTACGACTTAGACGATATGAGGCGTGTACACTGCAGAGCTTTCTGTTCGTCGCTCTTCAATAACACAACCGCAGATGTTTGGAGGAGGAGGGCTGTGGAGACTCCGGCGCGCCTTTTTTTTTTTAAGCATTCAAGGCATCCCTGGATCCAACGCGCCTTTTAACAGCAGGGAGCCCTTGTTGGCGCATCAAACTGGTTCATCTGAGCAGGGAGACCCCGGCTTCATGACACTGCATTTATTATGTGATTTCTAACTGGGGGGAGAGTTCTGGAGATGTTCAGACCAGTGTTGAACTGTGCTTCTGCTCTACGTCTCTTGGTGTAACTCTTTGCAACATGTATTTGTAAATATGACGACGACAGATCTCTAATTGTGAATAAAGGAAGTTTTATCACAGCCTGTGCCCGCTGAGCGGTCTTTGTCAGTCTGCAGGCTCTCAGGGATTCTCAAACTTTTTGGGTTCAGGGACCCCTTACAGGGGAGAAAAGATTTCAGGGACCCCAGTTTGAGAACCACTGTCCTAGACCACCTGCAAGAGGAAAATCCTGCACCTGTTGTGCAAATATCAAGCATAAATAGGTGTTTTTATGTGTGTTCAAACAGCAGAGCAGAAAAGACTAGAAAGTTCCTGGAGAAACTGACGGGGACTGCCACGTTGTTGCCAATATAAAATTTTGATTTGACAACCCGAAAGCTGCAGCCTTAGTCAGCTGAATGCTTTTGGCTTAGAGGGACAAGCCAACTATTTAAAGCAGTGGTTCCCTAACACTGCTCCTTGAGGAACACCATCATGCATGGTTTAGTTGCTGCACTGCTCCAACACACCTGATTTGAATGAACGGGTGATTAATAAGCTTCTGCAGAACTCGAGGAAGTTGATCAGTGAATCAAGGTGTGTTAAAGCAGAGAAACGACTAAAACAAGCAGGATGGTGTTCCTCAAGGACCAGGGTTAGGAACCACTGCTTTAAAGGGAAACAAATATTTAGCTAAAAGGTCATCCTCAAAAAATGTTTCCCCATTATACCACACACAGATATGAAAGGGACACTGAAAATGTTTTAAAAATTATGCAGTAACTCAAGTGAACATTTCTTGTGGTTTGGTTGCACATTATCTGTTTATAGTGAAAAATATAATGGGCTGCAGCTTGACCATATGTTTATAATTGGCTACTTGACAGGATATTTTCACTTTTGAAAATAAAAAGTCTCAAATACACTTTATAGTGATATTAACCCATAGTTTTTGTAACTTTTCCACTGAAACGCGATATAAAATGGATGATCCAACATTTTTCAGGCGGATCATCTGGACGGTTTCTTTTTTGTGCTGAAACTTTTCACCTTCCATCCAGAGGCTTCCAATGGGGTTAATGTGCTTGATGAAGCCTTCCGGATGGAAGGTAAAACGTTTCAGCACAAAAAAAGAAACCGTCCAGATGACCTGACTGAAAACTGTTGGATTGTATACCTGGATATCATGGACTTTGTTGTTATAAAACGAATGAATTATCACTTTAAGGCTCTAGCTGGAAATAATGGGACATTTAAACTATTAATTTAATCCTTAATAAAATAACAGATGTCCACTCTAAGCCCCGCTTTGTTGATGGAGTCAACCAAACTGTTGTTTCATCAAACACGTGCTAGCCGCCTCTCGGTCACCATGGCAACCGCTGTGTTATCCAGCGACCGCGGCCCGTGACGGACACGAAGCGTTGGTTCTCCGCGGTGTTCTGTTCGTGGTTCTGCTCTGTTCGTGTTCTTGGCGGAAGCTGAACGATGGCAGCTCCGGAGGGAAACAACAGCTCGGCTCAGGCCGCAAACTTCAAGGCTTTCCTGATGAAAGAGGGCGCGAGGAGCGGCCAGAACCTGTAAGTAGCTACCGCCATGGTTCCGTGTGGAGATCACATCCGGGTCACTGGGTTGAGTCCCCTCCGCTGGCAAAGCGAAAAAACAACAACACAAATAAACAAAACAAAAATCTGTTCGCCTCCACATTAACCCATTGAACGTCCCTTTTAATTTGTGACAGTGCCAGGGGCGTCAGAAGCATTTGTAATGGGGGGGGGATGGCACACTTGGGGGGGGTGTCTATGTGTCCACCAGAAATTTTGAATAAAGTAAATGTAATTTCCTGCATTCTGGTGTATTTTAACAGGTTGTTAAACGTGTACGTAAATTACCTACATATGTAAACACTCGATTCAATAATTATTTTAGAGACGCCTCATTCAACTAGCATGTGACAAACTCAAAGCCCGGGGGGCCAAATGTGGCCCTCGTTGACATCTTATCTGGCCCCCAAGTTGATATTTTAAACGTAAAATACTTTAAGCACTTTACTTTTTTCAGTAATCTTTGATGCTGATGTCAAAAGTGTAACAGAGAATGTGACCAATCAAGCTTTTGTTGAGGAACCAAGAAAAGATGTTTGTATCTAACTTGAGTTAACGTAGATTCTGAAACTGGCCCATAGTTTGAAAAAGGTTTAATTTTAGCCACCTTTGGTAAGTGAGTTTGTCACCCCTATATGCATCATCCTGTTTTTAAATTCACTCATATGGCTAAGATAATGAAATTAATGTGACACATTTTATCACAAACGGTGACTTTGGGGGTGCACTTCACTTTTATTTAGTTTATTTTTGATTTTGTTTTATTTGTAAATGCAACATGCCATTGCACTAAGCAATAGTGAAACTCAACTGCATGTTTAAAAATCAGAATATTAACTTTACAAAGTCAAAACCAAAAGTCAACGTTTGTTTATTTGTCATACGCACCACATGTGGTACATGTTATGGAACAAAATTATGTACACTGGGTCCCAGCTACATCCAACAAAAGTATAAAATGTAAAAGAAAAACGGTAATTAGATCTAAGATATGAACTAAGAAAAACGTTAAACCAAAAATATGCTAAGCACTAATAGTACAAAAGCAATACAGCGAACAGTGGCACGAGCATGAGTCTGTGTGAGCAGATGAGTACGAATGAACATTTAGATAACCACAACAGTGAATTTAGGGGGGCATTTTACTTTTTTTGGTTTAACGATGGGTCTTCACAACAAATATCACATAGCATTGTGCAGCTTTCACAACACAAAATTACTCTGTGCCAAGCAAGTGACACAACGCTCATTTTTCCTCATGAGAGTGAGGGTGAGGGACTTCACGGAGCAGAACATCCTCTGAGGGTTCTCTCTGAATGCAAACCCTAGCATTTTGTTTTTTTATTATTATTATTATTCCAGCTATGAGCACCTTACCCGCATTCTGACGAAGGTGATGGATGAGCATCCTGACGATGCCGTGGATGTGCTTGACGCATTGAGTCACGATGTGAAGCAGCGTGTGTTTAAAGGGGTGCAGATGCCCCTGAGAAACGTCTCACTCCCTTCAGCTGCTGAGCTGCTGGCTGAGAAGCAGCGCCTGCTGTTCACTGCAACAGACGACCCGGTCCAGGAAACAGAAATGGTCAGTCTACTGATCTGCACAGTGTTTGTGAAATGACTCCTGTCTCATCTGGTTTGTGGGTCTGTTTGTTGGAGTCCAGATGGGGTCAGTTCTTCAGAACCTGAACGAGGTGGCCTTTTACCTGGAGCAGGCTGGAGTGGGACTGGGTCGAGAGGAAACGCAGAGGATTTTTCTTGCACTCAAGCATCTTGTTGAGTCTCATGCGCTGATGCACTGCCGACTGTGGGGAAAGATTCTGGGGACGGAGAGAAACTACATCATTGCTGAAGCTGTGGATGCAGACGAGGAGGAGGAGCTGGAGCAGGGTGCTGAAGAAGCTCCTGAGGAGGAGAAGAAGGCTGAAGTCAAGGAGGTGAGGAAGAGGAAATGGTGTTTCTGGCACATTCAAGCTTTAGATGGAGTTTTACAAGTCACATTTGATACTTTTTCCTCATCGTTTTTAATTCTTTCTCAGTAATGTGTTGAACTTTGAATTCGATGAGCACCTCATTGGGTTTGAGAAGAAGTAATCAGTCTGAGTTTAAAACGCATTAACAAAAATATCACAAGAATCATTTAGGCTCCACAATTAAACCTAATAAAGAATCTTTTTTTAATAACAACCTGCCTTCAACTTGGTTTAACCTGCAGCCCTGGTCGTCTGATCCAATGGTCTCCTGAGGATTCATCTACATCATGTCCCTCATGCTGTTTGGACTTTTTCTCTTCCTGTAACTTTCTGCAGAGATATGACTCCAGAGCTGCATAAACAACCTGTTGCTGTTTGTGTGAGCTCTGATTCAGCATTCAAACAGTTGTTCTCTTTTTCCTGTACATTTAATTTAACTACTTCTGCATACTTTGTGCTGTTATTTATCCACACATCAAGTTGTTCACCTCATTCTGGAGCTGGGTTCTATGACGTTTGATTTTTGTAACTTTTAAACTTTACAAAATATTTATCCAGATCAATTATCGTTATATATATATATTTTTTTTTAATATATATATATATATATATATATA